GGCCGGGGCGCAGCTTGGGCTTCCGCGTCCCCCTCGTGCGCCGGGAGGCGTTCGCAGGAGAGGGGCCTAAAAGGTGGAAATTGGGAGGAAATCGGGTGGAAACCCACTCGGGCGCTCCTGCCGCAGCCCTCCCGGCACCTGGGTCTTCGTGCCCCAGGCCTGAAAATATGTGTTTGTGTTATTATTATTATCTGCTTTTTATTATTCCTAAGTGAAGCAACCAGGAAATAAGTACGCTGCGGGGTTGTTTTTGCGTTAATTGGCAATACTTGTGTGCAAGCTGAAATTACTTCTAGATCACAGGAAGATTTCTGGGCCCAGCTTGTGATTTATTTTTTAAATCTCAGCCTGCCCCAATCTGCCGTCCCCTGGTGTCGCATCTCGGAGATGTGAACGGGAGATTTATTGGCCAGTTACGGAAGTGAAGCCGTAGAGAATGGCTTAAACAGATCTGGTAAAGATGTATTAAAAAAAAAAAAAAAAGGTGTTTTTCAGAGTAAAAAGTCTATGTTTTTTGGCTACAGTTTCACTTCCTTGGTATCTAATAACAAGTTTTGCTTGTTCCTCCTCTAGCTCGGGGAGGTTGAATTAAACAACACAAGTTATCCGGTCTAAACAAGGCTGACTTACTCTGCTGGTCCACGTTAGAAAAGCACTGAGATGTATATATTTAACGTTACGAATTCCAAGTGGTAGCGGACAAGAGCCCTTCAGACTTGCTACACGCAAGAGAACAGCACCAGCTTCGCGTAATCCCCGTGGAGTTTTTGTGCATCTTTTACAGGTCGTCGCTAAGTTTCAGAGACGAGCCAGGGATAACCTAGCGTCTTTGTTTTTGCTGGTAAAAACTCATGCTTACGTATCGCTTTGTACACAGAGAAGCAGACACATCCTCTGCCCCAAAGCCGTTCTGGTCTCCCTAAGGCAAAAAAAGCCCCAGGAGAGACTTGGGGCAACCAGTCAGGTGAGGACAGGCCACTTTGAGTTGTGGTTTAGACCTGAATTCAAGTCCCGTTTTGTGAAACGTTTAGGGATGTTCTGGGGCTGCGAGTCGGCTCGCTCCGTGATCGTCTTTCCTGTTTGTTTTCAGGTGTTAGAACCTCATCCGCCTCCGCCGTTGATGTAAAAATGACCAAGTTGGGGTTTCTCCGGCTGTCCTATGAGAAGCAGGACACTCTCCTCAAGCTCCTCATTTTGTCCATGGCAGCTGTGCTGTGTAAGTCTGCGTTCCTGCGCGTCGCCATCGCTCAAGGCTGTTCACGTCCTCAAAGAGGGACTCCAGAATGGAGCTGGCCCTGCTCCTTGTTCTGTACCTTTTTAGGTTGTGAAGCTCTCCTCTATCTTTACAGCGTGTTTTAAGCGAATACTCTGATTCCTTTAGTGTGCGTACCTTTGAAAACAGCATCTTTCCCTTCCTTCCCCGTGACCGACGGAAGACCAAAACAGTTTTTGTTTAACAAAGTAGTAGATCAACGTGATGTTGACTCTGGTTCTGAGAGTGCTGTGTCTTCATTCTGCCTTTTGCCTGTTTTTTTCAGCTTTCTCCACAAGACTTTTTTCTGTCTTAAGATTTGAAAGCGTCATCCATGAATTTGACCCGTAAGTATCTTCCTCTCGTTCCATGAGAACCTCCTGGGCTTTTCTCTTCCGGAGCGTGCGCAAGTTGGGTGGTGCTTGCCGGGCTCAATTTATTCTCTTCCAAATTCCCCATTAAGGATGGGAGACTGGGAACGTAGCTTTCAGTACAAACGATCAGGTTTTCCTCTTCCGGACTCAAAATTCACTTCTTGGTTTCCAGGACTCCTCTGGAGCTTGGATCTAAGTCAGGGCAATCATCTGACACAGCTTTTACGCCAAGATGTGGTTATTCGTTGCCTGAGGGAACGGGTGCGGGGCCCTACACAAATACAGCAGGGCACAGTAGGAAAGAGGGCTCCTAATGCAACCTGTGTTTGTGTCCTAGGGCTGCTGCCGATAAAATCGGAAGGGAGCGATAGTGTTATCTTTGCAAAACCATTTTTAAATCCACTAGGACTAGCAGGATACACCTGAGTCGTGTGGGGCTCCTTTACAGCAGAGGTTTGCAGCAGTCTCGGGAAAATAAAGTTATCGTGCGTTCGCGCTGAGGAGCAGAGGATCCCCTCTGGCCCTGCTCTTTTTGATGGTATCTTAGCGCAAGCAAAACAAGAGCGTGTGGCAAAGCGTTGCTGCCTAGAGGCAGAGGGATCTCAGGTTCGTTCCCTCCACGCAGAAAATGCGTGGCCAGCCCTTGCGGTGCTCTCTGAACCGCAGACATCAGGGAAGCGTATCCAAACGCGTTGCTCGCTGGAGAAGCACAGAACGCAGAGTAAGGCAGTGGCCAGCGTGCATCACTTAGAGCACTCGGAGGGGTTTCTTTCCCACGTGAATCAATCAGGAGTTTCATTTATGTACGGACAACTGCTAGGCATGCAGTTTGGTACTTAATTGTCTGTCGAGCTGCCCCGTTTCCTCGACGCTTGAAGACTGAGGTAACCTGAGGAGTGGTAAACAGTCGATGCATCTGCGTCTGGATGCAGAGTTGCTTAGTGTTTCTTGCTGTTACAGGTATTTTAACTACCGCACAACCCGCTTTCTGGCGGAGGAGGGCTTCTACAAATTCCACAACTGGTTTGACGACCGAGCATGGTACCCTTTGGGCAGGATTATTGGCGGAACCATTTATCCGGGTAAGACAGCATGCTTCTGCCGAGCTAAAACACACCTTACGCGGTGGAAACTTGTAAAGGTGCAGACTGGGGAGAGAGGCGTTCGGCGTACGCGGAGCAGAGCAGTGGCTTCAGCTGCTCGGTGCAGAGCGCAGCACGCCGGCCTCCCTCGTTCGCCTGCTGGCGGCTAACTGAGGTTCTGCGCGCAGCGAGCCAGAGCTTTCAGCATTCAGCTGCGGCTCGGAGGTGTCGCGCTCCGCTTAAACGCAGCCGCCTTTGGTTCGGAGCAGCAGTGTGGGCTCAGTGCTGCGCACATCGCGGAGTGCCAGCTGGGAGAGGAGAGGCGCTCGCAGGGTGCACCCGGCCCACCTCCCCGAGCGCTCCTTGCCCGGTCCGTCCTTCCGAGACTTCTGGCTACTCTGCTCTGCTTGCAACGTAACAACCTCCGGGGCTGCGAGCGGATGGAAAGCGTCCTGCTAACGCTTTCTCTTCTGTCCTGCAGGCCTTATGATCACATCGGCAGCGATTTACCACGTGCTGCACTTCTTCCACATCACCATTGACATCCGAAACGTCTGCGTGTTCTTGGCTCCCCTCTTCTCCTCGTTCACCACCATAGTAACTTACCACCTCACCAAAGAACTCAAGGTAAAGGGAAGGCCTGGACGTAGTAGGCTGCGTGCCTTTTTACTAGCTCTTTTGGCGGTTTGGAGGTGGATGCGGCAACGGGTCAGAGCCCAGAACTTGCGGGAAATGAAAGATCTATTTTGACATTTCATTTCAACACCTCATTTTCCTGTCTTTGAGACGTATCCGTGCCTAGTACGGCACAGTAATGAAAGCCTTAAAAAACTGATGCCTTTTCCCACCCTCTGGCTGTGTGTGTGTCCCAGGATGCAGGGGCAGGACTCCTTGCTGCTGCCATGATTTCAGTTGTGCCTGGGTACATCTCTCGATCCGTTGCTGGCTCCTACGATAACGAAGGTGAGTTCACGGCGCTCGCGGCTAGGGAAGCCTTTCAGGACTGCTCCGGGCTGGAAAAGGATAGGGAAGATGGTACAGCGAGTGAAGGAGGATCCGGCCTTTCCCGGTGAGCCCTACCAGCTCCCTGCACTTTGCTCACCCAACTGCACTGCTCTCAGACTGGCAGTCCTTCTTGCCTACCCAGCTGAAAAAAGGGAGTTTCCCGACTCGCATAGGGAGCACATCCCTTTCTTTGAGTACTCGTTTGCAAGTCAAAGAGGGTTTCCGCCACCACAAACTCCACCTAAGTTTAGAGCTGCTGCCGCCCCATGGTTTTATCTCTGTACTGGCAATGACTTCAGGACTGGCAGAGGCAGCGATCTCGTTGATGCCTCGGGCAGAAGAGAACCCAGGTTGCTCTCCCATAGTTGGGCTGGTCCTGAAAGGGCTACGTAAGGAGTCACCGCGTCAGGAGAAGCTAGCTGGCGTAGCCAGAAGAGGCCACGTGAGCTGGTCTCGGCAGTAAGACGCAGACATCACAGCATTTCAACCTAGAAATCACATATGAAACCCTTTTCCCAGGCCCAGCTCCTTGTCCTAGGTGCTGTTTGTGCTTCTGAGGGAGAGGCAAAGAGGTATTTTTGTTTGCCTGAGCGCTCTGGTTTGCCCTGGAGACTCAGTTGGCATTTCAGGGCTGATGTGAGCTTGCTTTGACATTTCTGTGTTGTTCCACTTAGGTATTGCCATATTCTGCATGCTGTTGACTTACTACATGTGGATCAAAGCAGTAAAAACTGGGTCCATCTATTGGGCAGCGATGTGTGCTCTTGCGTATTTCTACATGGTAAGTATCTCTTTTCGTGGCGCCCAGGTATTTCTGACTCTAAGGATCGCTTTGGATACAGTAACCAAAAAATATATGATGGGCAGGTCCCCTGTTGCTCCTGGTATTCAAGGATCTAGACCCTCCATGAAGGACTCGGTGTCAAATTTGAGTGGATACGTTCTTCCTTGATTTCCACTGCGGTCCTCCGAGGACAATGTCATTTTTTTGTGCAAGGTCTTTATTGCGTTGGGAAATCTGGGCTTCTGAGAGCTGTGACTGCGTTACTAATGGTGTCCTTAGAGAGAGCCGATTGCAGTTGGCGTTACAGCTGAGTGAAAGCGGCGCCTGTGCGGGAACTCGGTCGCTACTTCTCAAACAGAAGCTAAACGTTGCGTCGACTGGCCGTTTCCGTGCCAGCACGAGAAATTCCCGTTTCCGCTTGCTTGTTTTAGCTTGAGAATATTTTGGTCCCGCTTTTAGGCGGGACAAATTGCCCCGTTTTCAGACCAGAGCTGATGAAGCTAGGTGTGATCCCGGGTAAAAACGAACCTGTTCCGTTTGACCTCCTCTGCGCAACCCGTTCAGTCCCGGAACTGTTCTTTTCTCTTGCCAGGTCTCCTCGTGGGGTGGCTACGTCTTTCTGATTAACCTGATCCCCTTGCATGTTCTTGTGCTGATGCTGACCGGGCGCTTCTCCCACAGGATCTACGTAGCCTATTGTACGGTCTACTGCTTGGGAACAATCCTCTCGATGCAGATCTCCTTTGTTGGCTTTCAGGTAGGGGAGCGAATGACTTACAGACTAGAGGACGGGGGTAGTTTTGTGGGTTGCCGCAGAACATCGGCGAGGTGGCACCTAGTTCCTCCTGTTGCGTTTGCCCTTAGCTTTATAGGCGAGCTTAGTGGAGACTTCACTGATCTGTGCCACAGGTTTTCCCTCCAGAGCTTGATGTTGGTAAAAGCTCTTCCTCACAAAGGGTCGCAGCGTTTTACCAGTTTTGGTAAAGCTATAGTAAAACGATCTGCTGTTTTATCTTTCCTTGCACGTGCACGGCAATAGGATGAGTGGGTGCTGGCTTCCAGTTCTAGCTCCCGTCGCGCTGATTTCTGTTGCGACCTTCAGCGAGATCAGCAGCGACCAGCTTTTCGGCGCTGCCTGGCTTTGAAACGCAGCCCGTCTTCACAGCGAGAAGAACGCTGTTGTACTACCACTGTTGATGTAGGGGAGGCTGCCAGGCTGGGTGACTTTCAAAGCAATACGCTGCTAACAACCTTCATGGCCCTGGTTGCCCTTCATGAAAATATTTCCATTTTCAGTGAAGGAAACGTTCATGCCAGAACGCACCTTGGTGCAGCAGGAAAAACGCATCGTCTTTCTAAACTGTAGTTCACCTTTTCGAGAGAATCAGTTTGAGCCGCTGCCCGTTGCTCACCTTTAGGGCACAGCATGCGAAATCCAGGTTAACATCTGTGTTTTCATGGGCCTGCAAAATTAACCAGGAAAAGAGGTTACCGTGAGGAAGGTTCTCGGATTTAATTTTCCACGTGGATCCCTATCTGGGAATTAAAGCTTATGTAAGAAAGTGAGCCATGCCAGCTGCGCCGTTCGCTGGCCATGGGGAGGAGAAGGCTTCCCGTGACTTTGGCGGCAGTTTTGCTGAGAGGCGAGTTGTAAAAATAGACAGACAGACGAATAAAGCCGGCGTCGGGCGCAGCGGCGCGGTGACGCTCCGTATCTGATCGCCCTCTCCCCTGCTTGCAGCCCGTCCTCTCCTCGGAGCACATGGCTGCCCTGGGAGTCTTCGGCTTGTGTCAGATCCACGCCTTTGTGGACTACCTGCGGAGCAAGCTGAACCCGCAGCAGTTCGAAATTCTCTTCAGGAGCGTCATTTCCCTGGTCGGCTTCGTCCTCCTCACGATAGGGGCCGTGCTGATGCTCACAGGTATCCCGAGAGCCCCGGCAGGGCCGGGCTCGTGGCGACGACACAAAGCGTTTACTGGCTTCGCTTCCTTTCGTCGCTTTGAAGAACGAAGCGCTGGTTATTTATAACCACAATTTGTCAATCGTAATTTTGCACTGAGGTTTCAGCGTTTGCTACTCCTCCCTTAGGAAAGGGGGCTGGGACCTGCCCTAGTTTGTGCGTGAGTGGGAAAATATTTTACGACTATGCAGCTGTGAAATCTGGGCTCGGGCGATAGGAGAGGCGAAGAGAAACCCTGTCATGACTCAGCCCCACGCTGGGGATGCTGAGCTGATGCTTCAGAAGCTGAACGTTGATCCGTAGTCGCAAAGAGACGATAAAAACGTAGGTCAGGCAGGGGAGAATTCTTTTGGGGGTAAAATTGCACTCGATTTGCTTTTTAAAAGGGCCGTTTCGGGTGATGGAACTGCCTAACGAGGCCCAGGATTGCTCGTTCAGCTTTGCAGGTGTTTCCCCGATGAGGGAATTTCTTGGCGTCGCGGGTTACTCTGTGCTGGAATTAAACACGATTTTCTCCTCTTTGCTAGGGAAAATCTCTCCCTGGACGGGGCGTTTCTACTCTCTGCTGGATCCTTCCTATGCAAAGAATAACATTCCCATCATCGCCTCCGTCTCCGAGCACCAGCCCACCACGTGGTCATCCTATTACTTTGACCTGCAGCTTCTTGTTTTCATGTTCCCAGGTGAACCGAATACATACGTTGGTGTTCATACCACGTTTTTATTAAATCGCTGTACGAAACCTTGCTGAGCCAGGAGGGTTTTGTGCTGAAGGCCAGGACTGCAGCTCCCCCTCTTCCTCGCGCTGCTGAAGGCTGCTTAAGGCAACATATTGCTAAGGTGAAGCTGACCTATTTCTCTTTTTTCTCTTCGCAGTTGGGCTGTATTACTGCTTCAGCAATCTCTCTGACGCCCGCATTTTTATCATTATGTACGGCGTGACCAGCATGTACTTCTCGGCTGTAATGGTGAGGGCCGCTGCCTGCTGGCCGTTGGATGTCTGGACTGACCCGGGAACGACTAGGATGATAAAGCGGTCTTAACGAAGCTCAGTTGCTTCCTGTTTCGGAGCTTGGCCATAACAGTTCTTCCACTGTGAGCCAGCTGAAACGTTCAGGAGGCTTTTCTCCCTCTAGTTAAAACGGATTTGTTCCCTCCCGCCCCACGGGGCGAGGGAATGCGACCTTGCAAAACTCACCGGTTTTAATTTTTCATGTGACCCGTTTCCTTACGGCCACCGCTGTCGGTGACTAGATCGCGGGAGGAGCGGGTGAAGGCTTTTCCTGGTCTCGCGTAGCTGAGTTGCAAAACCCCCCAGATTCTCCAGGCGTCCAAGCGGGGACTGATTGCAAAAGGCTGGTAACGAGCCGCTTTTCAATCTTGCAGTAGCAAACTGAGGCCTGAAGGGGAGCTGATGTCTGTGCACGGAGGCGTCTATGAATTCGTGGCTCCGGCGTTACAATCCTAAAGATTGCCCAAAGGGTGTAAAACCGAGGTCGCTTCTGCGTGTTGCTGGCCACCGTCGGGACTTCAGAGAACCTCCCTCGGGGGCGTCTGACGCGGCAGCGGCTCCGCTGCTCCCCGTCTTTGCGCGCGCAGAAAACCACCTGCCGGTTTATCTCGAGACTTGTTAGCGCAGAATACGAGATGCTGATTTAGGGGCCGCGTTTAATTTGTCCGTTCTCTCCGCTTTCTACCCGGAATCTCTATTGCAGCCGGGCACTAACTGTTCTGCTCTTGCCAATAGGTGCGTCTGATGCTGGTGCTGGCCCCGGTTATGTGCATCCTGTCCGGCATTGGGGTTTCTCAGGTGCTCTCCACGTACATGAAGAACCTGGACATCAGCCGACCGGATAAGAAAAGCAAAAAACAACAAGACTCCACGTACCCCATCAAAAACGAAGTGAGCGCTCAGGGCGGCACCTG